TTAGCCAACAGATCAAGACGCTCTTCCTCTACTACTCTGAATTGATAATTGTGTGAACTGAACCGTGAATTGAACACGTTTTCGACTGCCATTATACTTTGACTCGATTTGAGAATACACTGATTCGATCAGTATCAATATTGTCCATCAGTTTCCTCGAAAAGACACGCTGGCCAGTTAAACTTTCAGTTCAATATGACCAAAGTGAGAGGGAACACGCTGGTTCGATTAATGAAGACGCCGATCAAGAGTTCAATTCAGTAGCGAACACGTTGGTTAGATTTGGTCTCTTGACCCACTGTATTTACTCTGGGTCTGAGACCCTATGAAATTAATCACAGTTCAATGAACACAAAAGCGAGAAAAAAACAACAACAACAAACTCACCTTCTCGACCAAACGCTTTCAAACCCCCACAGAATCCCAGGACGCAAAGGCACGAAGGAAGCGAAAGGATAGCGCAGGAACACATGTGCGCCAGGTATCGACTTTTGATTGGTTGACAACAGTCACCACTTGGTCACCAAAATCTAACACGTCTTTTCATTAGTTCCAATATTTCCGTCGTCGCAATTGGCTCAAACCAAAGTCTCAGGGCAATCTACATTACGGGTCACATCGGCTTTTTGAAGCTCGACCGAGAATTTTTCTGCCTATTGCCCAGTCTTGCGCGGCTTTATTATGCTGCCGCCTTGCCATCCTCGAGTCTTCGCTCGAATGGATCGTTGGCAATGATGATCCACAACACTGTATTTTACATGCTTTTAGTTTTGAGAGATTTTATTGTTTGAACCTTACGTCTATCTCTTCAAACCTGTTTAATCTTGAAAAGTTTTCTGCTTTTATTAATTCATTCTTGGTCTTTTTTTAATTCTTCGCCTTCCTTATTTTATCGCTACTGTCTCTTAGGGCATTTTCCCCCTTGTTTTCGTGGAAGAAGGCGAGAGATCTCCATTTGCTCCTCCTGTCATTTGTCATTGATTATAATAAAGTTCCGATCCGCAATCTGATTGGTTGAAAAATCATGTTTTATGGGAGTATAAAACACGGAGCTAAAGGCGTCAAGTCATCGTTGAATCACACCATAGTTAGTAGAAGAGACTGGTTATCGAATGGGGTGGTTTTCAAGACAGAAGATTAGCATTTCAGGGATAAGAGTAAACCGTTAAAAGACACAAATGAACAGGGAAAGTTTAAATGAATGCTCAGTTTTCTTTTTGTGGACTAAAAAACGGTTAGTAAATCGTCCTTCGAGGAATTCAACATTGTTTCCTTCACGGCGAGGCGCAAAAGGTCCTGTCTTGAAATTCAACCGGGACAGCGAAGTTTTTGAAGACTTTTCAGGTACATTTTTTATTCTGTGATCAAGAAAATTGGGGGGAAAGGGAATTTAGGTATCTTATTCCTAATTATTTTCGCGATTTTCGCGAGACAGTATTTTGCGAAGCTTTATTTTCGCGATTTCGATGAGGGAATATGATAAAAGATCATTAAATTCCGCGAAAGCGTTGTCAACGTCATTTTATTTTCTAAAATAAAAAGTCTGAACTACAACCTTTCTAAACAAACTAGAACAAGTTAAGCAAGTTTAGCTACATATTTTCCTAGAGTCCGCAATATTCCTAAACATCCAGGTCTTCAAAGGGATCTTCCGGTGGAAGTTTCTTTGAGCCACTAACAACATCACTTACGCCTGCCTTCTTCCATCCTTTTGCAATTGACTGTCTGCCTTCAGAGCTAAAAAAAAAACGGTTGTACATGCTAACGGTCCAAGTTTCATGAATTGGTTTTAGAACGGAGAGTCACAGGTCAACATCAACATCATTGAGGACCACCCCTGAATCTAGTTGACTTTGAATTTGCGCCTAGTACCAAGACGTGACTTGGTCTTTCATTAACGTTTTTGCTTCTCTATTAACAGTCAAATCAAGAGGCTGGAAAAAATGGGTCATATTTGCTGGCACACTGACGGCTTCAATATTCAGCGATGCCAACTTGGATAAGACCTTGTTTGTCTTCTGGTCTTTAAATACATCCCAAATCAACACTGCCTTCTGTGTTTGTGGAAGATTTAATTCTTTTCGCTTTAGGGCAACATATGGCTGAATAATGTTTTCAAGTAGATTGAGAGTTTCCAATTCGCTCGAGTAATGTTTGGGATTCTGCGTTACTGCAAACCCACGTGGAAAATCAAAGCCTCTCGGTTGACTTGCTTTCGTCTTTCCTTGGTAAATTATTTGCATAGGCAGGAAATCGCCGTTTAAGGAGATAACAAATGTAAGAGTTATGTTTCCTTTGTCTGTGAGGCCTTTTATTGGCACAGAAGAGGAATTGCGTGCTGCCATTGTCATTTTTCCAACGAAAACATACGATGAAGGTGTCTGATCGGCGTTAAGAAGAAGTTGCGGAGGAATACTGTGCGTTGCAATGCATCTCTCGATGTCAGTTAAAAAGGTTAGTTTGCACTCTTCGTACATTCCTATAGAGGCACAGGAGGTGTTGTTGTAATTCCAGCTCGCCTGGAAAAATTACATCGTCGATAAATTGCTCTGACCCACGTTGAAGTTGGCTCAAATCCCCTTAAGTCTTTCGCGGAATTACTCTTTATTAACATCAAGGCTGAGGCTTTAACAACACTAAAATTAACAACACCACCTCTGTTTCGTATGCTCTTCGAAAGTGATATCAATTTTTGGTCAAGATCAAGAAGGATCGGCGGGCGACCACGAGTGCCGTGTGGAATAGAAGTTCCGCTTTCTTGTATTCCTCCTTGACTCTTCGTTTCCTTCAATTTCTTCTGATATGCTTGATTGAAGGTTCTCACGGTACTCTCCGTAAGGTTCGGTAGCTGTGCTTTGAAGTGATTTATGGCTCTTAGATTTCCGTTTTCACTGGCATATTTACCGATTTTTGCACGCATTTCCGGGGAGTAATGGTTGTAATTTCCTCGCTTTCTATTCGACGGACAGCTCTTGTCAGGATCTACAATGTTTCCCACCGACAATACAAGTTCATTGTATTCTTAGGTTTCAAAATAAGTAGCCTCTTGCTCTGGTAAATAGCCACATTTGGTGAGTGAGACTGTGGGGTAGATTCTTGGGGATTTCCTGTTTCTTTAACAGTGAACCCAAACTGAAATAGGGACATGATACAAAGGTTCTCTCATTCATGAGACTCTACAGGCTAGCTGCTTTCGCAATAACAAGTGTACAAAGGTCAATAGCAAGTAGCATTTGAACTGACAGATACATACATGTCAATCAAAATTTGCTTTTATGAACGTGCTTTTGTCAATTTGTCTCATTTTACATGTCTCGTGGAAAGACACATTCATTATTGTACGAGATTTACTTGAAAATATACCGGTATTTTCTACACTATTAACACGAGTAAGAGGAATGATTCCATTAGAACCACCTTCCCGTGTATCAAGATGGCAGCACTAAAACACGGAATCCGGAAACGGAATCATGGAAACGGAAGCGGAAACGGAATACGGAATCCGTGAAAGAAGGTTCCAAGCGATCGATTTGAAAAAAAAATGTTAGCAATGACAAAAAAATAAATAAATGGATAAAAAAAGACATAAATGAATAAATTAGGTGAGTAGAGGAGACTGCTAGTACTGCATCACTGGAGTTGATTCCGGTGAAAAGACTCTTGATACCACTTCCGGCAGTGAATGCAAATTCTCATGGGACAGCAAAGCGAGGACAAAAACGTCACTGACAAAAGCTAGTTCTTTAAGAAAAAGGTAAGTTATATGGAGTCGTTTATATAACTGAAAGGCGTCGCCGTCAAGTTTTTCCTGAGTGTCTTTTCTGGGTTGTCTTTAACAGTGTTCAGTTTTATTTATCAAGACAACTTACGCTAGAGAACCATGGCATTGTGGAGTCCAAAAAGAAGAGAGAATTGTGCATTCATGATTACATCAAAATAATGCGCCACGTTTAATAAGCCTCTTCAACAAAAATACGGACGTCAACGTAAACTCAATTACCGGTACACCAGTATGCCATCAGTATTCAGCTTGGCGAAAAAGTTGAACTTATTGCTAAAACACCGGAACTGTGGTCACATCAAGGGTCGGGCATGCGTTGAGTATTCAGTTTGGGGACAATCACGTGGTATTTTCTGAGGCCAACTACTACTATTCTTGAAATTTAGCTACAGAGGTAATATATACACCTTATTCGATGGTTTAGCATATAATACGTGCGGATATTTTGCGAGTTGCGTGGTATTTTTCGGAGCCCCGCAGGGGCGAGGAAAAATACGAGCAATGAGCAAAATGTCCGCTCGTATTATATGCTAAACCATCGAATAAGAGGTTTATTATTCAACTACAAAAAAAAAAAATTATCTCGCAATTGGCTTCCATTTTTTGGTAAGAGTATTCAGAGACATCCTGATTCTGTCTGTGAGAATGACGTTAACAATTAGCAAAATGTTCGCGCGTATTATTTGCCAAACCATTGAATAAGAGGTTAATTATTTTACCGCAAAAGAAAAATGGTATTTTGGCTTCTATTTTCTAGTGAGAGTATCCAAAACATCCTGATTCTGTCAGCCACAGTTGCTCCTTTTGCATCCGCCGGTATTCGCCCTGTTGTAAACCGGTTAAACCAGGACACCACGGTGTATTACGGCCTCGTATTTTGCTTGTTCTGTTGACCTTATATGGTAAAATGACATAATAGTGGAATAATAATTAACTGTATTATTCAACCCATAAACTCGTGAACAAAAATTACTCGTAAATTTACATTCATCGGCCCTGCAGTGCAATAACCACACTACGGCAAATCTTATCAAGACACAATAACATTAGAATATATTTAAGGGAACTGCCAAGAAAACTAAAACAAATTCTCTTTGGATTGTACTAAATTATGCAATGTGAAATTGTATAATTTTCTATCATTGATAATTGATTCCGTTTCCGTTTCCGTTTCTGTTTCCGTTTCCGGATTCTGGATTCCATGTTTTAGTGCTGCCGGTATCAAGATATATGGAAACCAGTAATTGGAGAAACCTTGCACTGTATCCATGAAAGAAACAACGATCATGATCGTTATGCGATAGCATCAACCAAACGACTTCCAGGCCGCTTATCTGATTCAGTTGTGGAGCATTTACCAAGAGAGATTTCCAGGTACACGCGCTTTATAATTTCAAGAGGAGGAAACGTTAAAGTAACGGTAGTTGATTCTAAGTATCGCCGATCCCCTCTCATGCAGGGTGGTCTTGAAATTCTTGTCACTGTTTGCATCGAAATCCACTGCACCTCGAAGAATGTTTCAGTGTTGGAACGGTACAAGAAACTTGTGAATAAAAATTACAAGGAACCAAAAAAAGGCAATTTTGACGACTGCACGACAGATATTCAAAGGGATTTTCTCGAAGACAGTAATTCAGATGAAGATGAGTAGTTAGATTTTCTGCTCGATATTTTCATGTGAAATCTTTGCAAATTACCTTTATTGGTCACACTTGACAATATGCAAAATGAGCTTACCAGTGAATACTTTATTATTTCTGTCGATACATAAGCTGTACCTGTCGTTGTTGATCATGTTTATCAAGTTTTTTGTGATTCAAATTTCTTACCATGGTATTTTAATTTAGCGTGTGTAAATTTCGCGAGGATTTTTTTTTTCGCGATTTTTTTATAATCGCGAAAATCGCGAAATTAAAGACGCGCGAAATTAAGTACGAATAAGGTATGTATAAGTGTTTCACAAAAGTTTTATAAATTTGGTAATCTACACTAAAGAAAAATTACATAATGCACCCAGATTAATATTTGAGGTGGATTTTGTGTTGAATTTTTCCATGTGCTTATCCGATGAAACTTGCTTTAAAAGATTAACTTCTTAGTTTTTGAATAAAAATTTTCCATAAATAACTTCTCTATCTATTTGTTTGTTCCTTCATACTCTAAAATCAAAGGCAAGGATAGTAAATACCTTATTTGCAAACCAGTTTACATGGGGCTGTAAACTCGAGGGCAAATAAGGTATTGACCCTGTTTGCCCTTGATTTAACCTTAGTTTGCACTTTTTTGCATCATACTTGCACCAAGTAAATTTGGTGTAAATCAAATTTTTCGTGCAGTGAAAAATAATTGTGATTGGCTAATTTACAGGTCAAATGAACCAAAAAATTGACATATTTTGTTTTGTCGCTTTACCTTCACCAAACACTAAAAAGAACCATCCTAAGTGAGATTTGGGTTATGATAAAAGAAGGGTTCGGAAATATCTTTCTATTTTCTAGTTTTAGGCTCGTAAAGGCTTTTGAAGTGCTTTTGCAAAGACTTTACCGGCGCACTATCTGACCTCTGATGCACTGCAGTTACAACCAGAAAGAGGCGGAAAAAACGTTCTGCGCAAGCCTCTGCGCATCCCTTATCGCCTGCGTTTGTTTGTCTCGTTCTGTGAGAGTTCTGACTGAGACAGAATGAAATACACGAGGTGCGAACGTTTGCTCCTTGTAAAGGCTTTTTTTTGTTGTTGTTTTTTCGTCACTTGAAAATTACTTTGGATTCAGAACAAGCAATGTTAGACCGCTGTTTTTCACCTCACCAACATTGACGTCACAAGCTGTTTTTTCCGACAATTTTTCCGACCGCTCTGCGAAGATAAGGGCCAAAAATTAGCAATTTTTAATTGCGAATATCTCGGAGATACTTGCTTCAATAGAGCTGAAACTTCATAGTATGTTTACTTGGTTCATATTAAACACATTTCACTAGAATTGAACTAAAACAAAAAAGGTCGAAATTTTGGTTCATTTGACCTTTAAGCGTGTTTATGAGAGTACAACATGCTGACGACACTCGAGGTGCGCTGTGAAAATGTAGTTTGTTTAGGAAAATAGAAAGCAGTGCGTGGGGAATTTAACGAATTCTTTATCATGAAACAAATAAAGAACCTTGTTTGTGCTCTCTTCTGTTGTAAAGTAATTAGGAAGCGACAAGAGCACTCAAGACGTAGGAAGAAACACTCGACTATGTCTCCTGTTTGCCCCCCACACTTCTTTCGTGCTCTAGCCGCTTCCTGCGCGCTTTACGACGGAACAGAGCACACACAAGGCTTTTTTATTTGTTAATTATGAAAAAGTAAAAAAACCTTGATCCATCCCCAACAATCACGTTATCTGATTTTGTTGTGATCGTTATGATTTCTGGCGTCAGTGAAGTTTCACACTATAATATAGATTACATGTACAAAGAAAGAAGGTATACATCTAAGTTGATGTAAAGCAATTGAAGTAGAAAAAGCTTTCGACTTTTTAAAGTTGCTTGCTCAATTATGAAGTCACGAAAAGCGTTCTAAAGAACAAGAGCTTATTCCAGAATTTTTATAGATAATATTGGAAACAAGGATTTATTATTCCAGAATAAAATTTTACAAAATAGAGTCAAGTAAAAAAAAAAACGAAAGGAAAAAAATTGTTTTCCTTTATTACAGTACGTCGAAAACCTACACTAATAGGTCATTTCCTGGGAGTGTAAATGCTTCTGATCCAATAAACTCCACTGGATTATCTGAAAGCATTCTGAAAACAAACAAACAAGCAAATGTTGTTATTTAAAGAAAAGGATGCAGCGGCGAAAAAAAATTGCAAAAAAATATCCCTATGGTTTCGAACGTTTACATTTCACCTTGCTTGGCGTGCAAAATTCCATGCCGAATTTTAAGAGGTTGTCCGCGTAAGAACGGGCAACACAATTTTTCGACATTCACCGATTTTCTAATTTTCGTCCAGTTTTGGCTCTTCTGATTCTATTCAAGAGCTTTGAGAGGCATATCTATGACTCAGTGTGCTCGTACCTTTCTATGAATAACCTGCTCTATGGATTGTAGTCTGGTTTTGGAAAAAGAAAATTCAACCGAAACTGCATTGATGCAGTTTACAGTAGAACAAGTCGCTCTTTGCTATTGACAACAATAATGTGGCTGGTCTTATGTGCGTTGAATATAATAGACATGACCCTCTTCTTGCTAAACTGAAGGCATATTAAAGCGATGATTTTAACTTACAATTATTTAGAGAATCTTGCTAATGGAAAGCAGTATGTCCGCATAAACGGCACCAATTCGGCTTTACTTATTGTTACACAATGGGTCGCTAAAGGAAGCATTCTAGGCCCCCTTTTATTTCTTACTTTCGTTAGCCATCTACCCTCGGCTATGTTGATATCTTCGCTGATAATACCATCTTTTCGTCTAGTTTCAACTTTTCCCTGGAAACGCAAACACTTCTTCCTTCAACAGAAAATTGACAGTCCGCACGAATTCATATTGGATATTAAAATCATCTTAGGAATTTGGTTCGAAGATAGTAAACTGATAATCAACCTGAAAGAATGGCAAGACTGAAGCTAAAACGACTCAACCTTCAAGAAAATGGACGAACACTTTTATTAAAGGAAGTTTTCGTACAAGTACCGGCGCGTTGACCTAGACCTAATCAATCTGTTACATCATATTTTGATAGAACTTACAAGAAGGAAGCAAGCAGAGTTACCATTTTAAGGTCAATTCGCCCGTCTGTCGATGGAAAATGCGCTGAAACAATCTATATCACTATGATTCTACTAACTTTCACACGCTGCGGGTCAGTTGGTCTTGTTTGGTCAGACACCCGAAAAAGTCCCATAAAGAATATTGAACAAAGAAGTTTAAGAATCATTGGAAACAAGGGTCTGAAAGTTTCATCAATAGAAAACACAATTAAGCGCAAAAACGGGCAACTGGTCTTTGAATGTCTTCAAAATAATGTTTTCTCCTCTTTTAAGTCGTATATTGAAAGATTAGATCATTCTGTACAGGAAACAATGGTTTTCAAGCAAAATTGTCTAAAGTTCGCTTCTGGGAAAAAAGTTTTAATTCCTTTGAAGCCGAGATTTTTAATGAGCTCCCAACTGGACTTCGATCCTTAACTTCGAGACTTTCATTTACGGGCCTTCTGACATATCTGTTGCGTTGCTAAGGGAAAGCATTTTTACTTGTGGTGCGCGTATATTGTTGGTTTTCACATGACGTCACTAAAAGTCAAACTAAAAAACTATCGATCCTACTGAGATTTTACTTTCACGATGCATTAGCGCAGCTGAAAACTAATTTTCATACAAATTTTCGCTTCAAAAGGGTTCTTGGTTTTGTGATAGAATACGCTTGAATTTCTAAGCTTTTGCGTGACGCGGCATTTACATGACGGCCAGAGAGCTTATTTCCGGAAATTTAGCTATCTAAACAGTTCGTGTATTTGAAAAAGTATTACTTTAATTTTTATGAGTTTCTCGAAGAATAAATTCACGCTATTGCAGCAAAACTCGGTAACAGATGTTTCTGTTGGTTTCCGTCCGCCATGTTGGAGCTCATCCAGCATGGCGTCTCCATACAAATCTCTATAAGTTTGAGTAAAACTTTTCTTCGAATATCTCGTATATGAAATATTCCTCTGTCCTGAACCTTGGCGAGGGTCTTTGTATATGTATCTACTTTCATTTTCCAGATTCTGGACTTTATCTATTGAACGGTTTTGATTTTAGTTTGATCTACTTTGGAGGACGTGACACTGAAAACCAGCAATAGTGTGATTTAGGGGATACTGAAAGGAATATTTCTGCTCCTAGGTAAATTATTTCAAGCATTGAAAGAATGGCTGTCGCATACCATCGTGGCGTGAAATTCAGTGCTATAATTCGGTGTCATCGAATTAAATGCACAGTAAAGGAACAAAATTGCAAAGGAAGAGTTTGAAAAAAATACTAGCTAACCCCTCTGAGAAAAAATGGCACTTTCAAGCAACGATACTTTGCTCTAAGGACTTTTTTTCTTGTTTGGTGGGCGCCATTCTTGCTCGGGTCGGAATCAGAACTAATGAAGCAGGGTTTTTAACAGTGATAGGAGAGGTCTTTAAGCAGTTACTGAGCAAACAGCAGACATCATTTATTGATCCTATGTTAAACAACAACCTGACTGCATATCGAAAGGATCAGAACTGTGAAACCTCCTTTACTGGATTGGTAGAAAGATGGAAACAGGCTGTTGATAAGAGGAACGTTGTCGGAGTCTTGTCCACTGACATGTCAAAGGCATTCGATTCGCTGTACCCTCCCCTAGAGTTTGGATCAGTCAAAAACAACAAGAGATGGATGCGTGACCACGAGAGGCTGGGCCCGGGGGATCGGCGTCCGGGTCCCTTCTCTGGAACGTCTTTCAAAACAACCTACACCTCTCCACCGGATGAAAATAGGTTATTCATGTACGCTGATGACCACCAACTGTTTTCAGTGGCGAAGGCAACCAACGAGGCGGAAAGCATTTTAACTGAGAAAGGAAACAACATCTCTGAGTGGTATAGCAACAATCTTTTACATGGAAATTTTTCTAAGTATCAAGTCTGGGCCCGAGAAATTGTCACAAGGATTTACACATTGCGATTAACGACACTGTAATTGATCAAAAACCAGAGATAACGATCTTAAGGGTTACCCTAGTCGATAACTATCATTTTCGAGTCATGTAAGCAATGTCTGTAGAAAAGCCTCTTCTCAAACTGGCGTTCTCCTAAGGTTACGTAACCTCATTCCGACTTCCGCTAATTAAAAATACATATTGTTAAATTCGCTGTGTTATCCCATCTCACATACTGTCAGACTGTCTTGGCATTTTTGTCGTTCTTCTGATGCCAGGAAACTAGAACGAATTCAAGAACGAGCACTACAACGCTGTAAACAGGGAACCATAAGCCAACTAAAACTAAGCGTCAGAAATCAACTTTGAACAACAATTAACATCCGAAAGACAGTTTCTTGAACAAAACCTATGGTTCAAATCCCTGTTACGTATCAATAATGCCCCCATTTACTATAGGGAATTGGAATGCAGAGGTATTAGGAAAAAAAAACACCTGAAAGGCAACGATAACAATTTTCTCACCCTTCAAGAGCTGCAAAACAAATACGACTCAAAGATTCAACCATTGACTTACTGTGGTCTTCTTTCTGCTCTTAAAGCACTCTGAAGAGGAAATAACCTAAGATACTGTACAAACAACGGCAAAAAATATGAAAGCTTTTTTGGACTAAATTATCCAAATGCTAAAAACCTAGTAGACTTGCATATAACGCTCTTGTTCCAGAGAAAGCCTCTCCTCTACCCACAGCCAGTACAAATGGACGGAAGCTTGTGGCCTACCACAAAATGGTATGAATTGGACCGCTGCTAACCAGCTAGCTTCAAAAATTACGACAAACACAAAACTCCGTGAATTTCAGTTTAAACTTCTGCACAGGAGATTGCCAACAAGTGACTTTTTGACTAAGATACAAATACAGGAAAACCCCCGGTGCTTTTTTTGTAAAGAAGAAAAGGAAAAACTAACACACGTACCTTTTTTCTGGAGCTGCCCTAAAATAAAATCTTTCTGGGAATACGTAATAGTGCGCCTAAAGTCTTTCCAGGTCGTTCAAAACGATTTTTCCTTAGATATTTCTCTAGCAATTGGTTTAAGGCCTGCTTCTTCAAAGTTAAATCAACAAGCAGACTGATCAACTTTGCATTCTTACAGCCAGGCACTACATTTGGCTCTATAAAGCCAATGAACTGACCCTAACATTATATGGATCTCTTAAATATGTCAAATCGATCCACAGAATACACTGCACGAAACCGCTAATCAGTCCCTACCTAAAGAATGGACTTCTCTAAACGGCATCTGAAGAGAGTTAAAACTCTCTTTTGGTGCGACCCTTCCATATACCCTTGATAATCTCGTTTGTATAGCTTTGCATGTTTTGCTGCCTCTGTCAAGCCTTGTGGCGTTTCTTTTCTTTCTTTTTTTATTGCCTATACCTTTTTTTCTTATGCTTAAGCTTAATGATAATTGTCATTTTTGTAATTTTTTTTTACAATTTCCTTCGCTGCTTTTGTAATCGCTTTTTCCCCTTTGTAAGTAATTTTGAAATAAAGTGTTGAATAATAATAATAATGTTAGAGTGGTACTTTTCGACTATCGTAAGGCTTTCGATCTTATTGATCACAATCTGTTGGCCAGAAAGATCGAAGCCTTGGACATGCCACGGTGGGTTCGCGTTTGGGTGCTCGATTTTCTGTCAGACAGGAAACAACGTGTCAAGCTGTCATCAGACTGCCGGTCAGAGTGGGGCCTAGTCCCAGCCGGGGTGCCACAGGGGACCGAGCTTGGTCCCTGGTTGTTCTTATTAATGATCAACGATCTTGAGGTCGACGCGCTCACTTGGAAGTATGTAGACGACACGACTATCGCCCAAACGATACCGCGAGGTTTGACTAGTGATGTACAAAGCGCAGTTTCCGCCGTTGAGGCGTGGTCGATCGAAAATAGGATGGAACTGAACGCTGACAAATGCAAGGAGATGCGCATTGACTTTAAAAGGAACACTCACAATTTTCCACCAATTGTGATAAATGGCAAGGAACTATCAGTATCAAACAGTGTAAAAATCCTAGGAGTCACTATTAGCTCAGATTTAAAATGGAACGAACACATCTCAGAGTGCATTAAGAAAGCGAACAAGCGCCTTTATTTTATTGTTCTTCTAAA